CTTCTTTTTTCTTAATTAATACTTCTACTTGCTTGCCAAAAAAGAAGAAGCTATGAAACCGTTCAACATTATCAAGAAGCAAAGAGGACATAGAACTCTAGATTCTAAACAAGATTAATAATCAAAAGCTTAACAAACCCTGTAAATTCTACAAACAAAAAACAGGAAAGAAAAAAAAAAGAGATATGCAACAAACCTCAACATGCTTTCCTCTTTTAGTGATCCAATAAGAAGAAGGAAGCATTTCTTCTTGATTATTGTCCCTGCAAGCTGCAATGGACAATTTATATTATAGAATTCTAGATATCAATTAGAAGAGTAGAATTTCTGCCGATAAGAATTCTGAGGCCTTCTTAATCTAAATATTTACTTCAGAACGTACTAACATCACTTGATAGAAATACAAAAATAAAACATTCAGTTGTCTAATTTTCATCACCATCACAGTAGTTGAAATGGACTGGTAAGATTATGGACTCATAGAAATTATTTTAACTACTAAGATTCTATAATTAGCTATTGCAAAGTAAATATTAAGTAGGTGTCCCACAAAACACGTTTATTCTGTGAAAACACTTGATATAAAGAAAAAAGAAGAGAATTTCATAAAGACTCGATTCACTTATGCACCATCTAAACTCAATTTTCTCATGTCAGATAGTGAGTAGCACCTACCTAATATTTTTTCCCTTCGCAATAGCAATAAAAATTAATAAAAATTATATTTTATGGTATCCGTATATTGTGTAATATAGATTAGTGGAAAACAGTAATAGAATCCAGCCAGAGGTATAGCAGCTATAGCTAAAATAAATAGAACTGAAATGGTCTTACTTTTAGAGTGTAATAATAGATGCATCAAGAAAATTTCTTAAAAATTGGTTGAATAATAATTGATGGATACCAGTAAGTGGCTCTAGAGCTTGAAACTTACTACCATAATACGATTAAACAAAGTTAAAAAATAGAACATCCAAGCCATCTTGACTTCAAATAGAATCAGTTAGGCATACTGAACATGACTACTGCTTAAAACTTATTTAATGATCAAATGAAATGAATGTTGGTGAATCCTTTCAGTGATTGATTAGACATCTACTACTGGCATGACAAGTTAAAGCAGCCTGGCGATTCAGAAGAGCAATTCAGAAGAGAGATCATATTTCTCATGCTGGAACTAAGAAACTACTATAATGTTAATGAACAATGAAATGTCAATGGATCTGTCATATTGGCGAGTTCCTGAAGCATCATTAAAAAAGAGTTAGTTAAAGTTATATTACAGTTATTTATTCATGGTTCTCCACACTTTCCAATCAGGATGATTAGTGTAGTAAACTATCAAACAAGACGAGCCAGTATGACCATTATCATGATAATTTTGAGCCTGCTTTGTGGTGTCCTGTCCATTCATTATGTGGTTGGATCTGTAACAGGTATTAGGTTCAAGTTCTGCCTTTTTGGTTTTTGGAAGAATTTGTACCTGCTTAGTTTCAAACGCTTTATTTTGAAAACCTATCAAACTAATTCTGACCAATTATGTGATTTATTGTTCTCTTTTTTCTCTTCTCAATTATGAAAGCACAAGGACACTGCTTTATATTTTACTATATAATTCAGACAATAACAATAATTAATCTAATAACAATAATTAATCTAATACTGTCAAATTCTCATTTAAATCTAATAAAAAAAAGTTTTTTAGGTCTACGGTCTACCTCTACCTCTTTTAACATAGGCCAAATTTAATACATCTACTCTCCTAACCGGGTCATCTGAAGACCGACATTTTTTGTGACCAATCCATCTAAGGTGACTCTCTCTAATCTTATTTGCCACGAGAGCTACTCCAACATTTTCATGTATATACTCATTTCACATTCTATCTCTAAGAAAAAAGCCACTCATCTAACTTAGCATCCTCATCTCTGCAACACTTAATTATATGCTTCTCTTTTAATAGCCAACAATTTGTGCATAGGAACCTAACAGAAAATCTATCTCCAACAACAACAACATCAAGTCTTTATCCCATTTTGTGCGGAGCGGAAAATCTATCTCCATATGAAAATAAATATTTTGAAGAGTAGAAATGTAAGATCTAATATAAAAAAAGTATAAAACCCTAAATTCTAAAGTAAAGTTTTGACAAAAATGATTCATATGAATAAAGTTATTAAGGATAAAAGAAGGAAATATGCATTCAAATGGAAGCCAATCAGAGAGGGATACATAATCCAATCATCTTCCTTAGAAACTAACTTATCCTTCAAGGAAGAGAGGGCTCTTGCTATTGCAAGGAAAATTCAAAACCATGAGAAAGAAAAAAAGAAACAAGAAGAGGTTTTATTTTGTGAGAAAGAGGGGTGGAAAGAGTGCGAGTGAGGGGAGCAATGGAAATGGAAGAGGAAGACAAATTATAGGAGGGAGTGAGGGATAGTTGGGGAGAAGAGCTTGAGCGAGGTTAGTTTTCAACAACTTGCACATCTTAATTAACCATAAGATCTCCAAAAAAAACCTATAGTATTTATAGAAACGCTTAGCATATAGCAAATGACATGAAAATACTACATAAATAACACAAAATGAGGAATACTAATGGCACAAAAAGAGTGAAACAGGATATCAACAAATAATGTTAGTTTGGAAGCTCGTTGGCTTTTAGTCTCATCATATCTAATCTGCATTATGATACCTCCAAGAAGAAAGAAGAATATATATATATAGTATTCATGATATAGCAATGTTTAAAATTGCATAATTGGGTATTGAGGCGTTTTTCGTTCGTGAGGCGAGATGTAAGCCTCAAGGCGTTTTAAGGCGTAAGCCTATACTAATGAGTAAATAATATCTAAAACATGAAAATGCACAAGATATGAAGTAAAATCAAAATATCCCAATAATAAGACAACATGAATATAATAATATACCGGTCTGCCAGGGGTCCAATGGGGCACTGCCCCCTGACGGGGTTCGACTAAGCGGTACCAAGCATGTACTGAGCGGTACCGAGCATGTACATTTAGAATATTTTATATAAAATTTGCATTATTTTTTATTTTGTATTTCTATTTTTCTATCTAAAGACATGTATGACCGGCGATGGCATATTTTGAAGTAGAGGAAGCATTAAAGAAACAAGTAGTTGAAACTTCGTTAATAGCCATTATCCCCCTTATCCACCATTTTTCCCTCCAAATGTAGTAGTCCAAGAGTCATGCAGTGCTTATAATATGACGTAAAAAATATTATATTTTTTATTGATGAATTAAATATTTTGATGAAGACCTGGTCTTCTCTTTACTTGGTGATTGATCACTTCAAATATTGCCTTCTTTGATGAGTAAGGTGATTCCTCTTTCTCCTTTAAATTACTTGTTAACTATTCCAACGCCTCTCCACTCTCCTCGGCTCTTCCTACACTTCATAAGCACCCTCCAAGAAAAAAAAAACTAGGAACACTTCCCATATACCCCAATTCCCTCCTTGAAGCTCCAAACCAAAACAAAGTGAACTAAGACTTAGTTTTATTCCCTGCACGGCTGCACCTCAACACTCTTAAACACCACCAAATCCTACCCCTGACTCTAGATCGCAAGTTAACATCTTAAGATAACCATCCACCACAAATTTTAATATTTTATACCACATAAATATTTCCTAAAAGTGATCTTCCAAATAAACACAAACTAAACAAATTTTAGCATTCCTTCCATCATGCCCTTCCAAACCTCTCATTTTCATACCATAAACTCTAGAGCACAACTTGACACACTAAGTTGAACATGATAGTCAGTGCTGGCCACTAATCTCATCGAAAGGTCACCAACAACCATCAATTCATCTGTGGTAAAATAACATACCAATTGTATATAGATAGTTATTTTTATAAAGGAGCCCTTTGGGCGGAAAAACATCATAACATTTGATAACAAGCTGCTTGGTACATGGGAAAAAAGATGATTTCTTCATAGCCTACAAATCAAGTTTGGGGCACCCTTGAAAGGTAGTAACATTTTAGCAAGGAGGATCCATATTCTCCTTCTTTCAAAATTTTATTTGTGCCTAAATTATAAAAGCTTGCTTTACTGAAATCCAAGAGCAGGCTAGTAAAATATAGTCTTTTAAGATGATTTTGAGAATCAGAAGAACAATAGAATTATTTATTCTTTTTGCTATAATAGATTTCATTACCATCCATCTTAGGAGACTCACTAGCAAGATGGATATCACTCAAAAGAGATTAAATTAAAGGAACAAGAACATAAAGTTCAGAATGTCCATGACATGGGCGTGTAAACTAGAAGGATGCAGTCTTCTATCAGATATAGGCATATCAAGCCAATTGATACATTTCAAGCTGGATTTCAATCAATTCACACCAATAAACATAAGAAGATAAAATAATAAAAAATGGTAAAAAAAAACATATAAGATGACCCCCACTTGCTCGTGCACACTCTTCTTCATTATTAAAAAAAACAGAAATTTCAAAAAAAATTGAGTCTGCAGTAAGTGCTCCAAGTCAGAAAGGCATAATAACTTTAGTTGAACTCTATTTTATACATGAAATTGTAAATGTTTTATAGGTATGTAACCCATTTATTCTTTAGCAGATACAACGATTAAGTCATAGCTTGGAGCTAAAAACAGAAAAAGCTGCACAATACACTTCCATGACTTACTGATAGGGGACGGGTGCATAGAAAGGATGAAGAAAATTGAAGTTGCTTCAAAGCTGTTGACAATTGATGTCTCACCATTCCCTAAACTGATTTATACCAGAACGATACCAAAATATACATATTCATTACTTTGGTAGATGGCAAAGAAAACAAAATAGTGAGCACTTCCATTGGATATAATTCTTTATGATACAAGTTTTATGAAGACAAACAGCTATGGGTATATAAGTGATGACTTCCTTTATGCCTATTCATAACTACTTTGTCAAGTTAACTGTTTTATTTGCATATCTAATGCTCGAATGCCAAAAAGGGTTCAGGAAACCAAGAAAACTGATACTAATGTGATATTATTTTACCTAGATAATACATAATGAAGATTGGACATCCTGCTGTTAGCAGTATATAGAGTGAAAACTTTAAAAAATAAAAATAAAAATAAAGCACTAAAAATCTAGTGTCATTATTTATTTACAAGCAGTTGACATGTTATAAAAAATGCTCTTCAAAACTAAATCAACTAAATGTTGAAAATCATATGGCTGCAGAATAATTGTGTCAAGAAGGTATAGATGCAACGGCTGAACTCAGACCACCCTTTCAAGAAGGCAGCTGCTTGAAGATGATACAACAAATACTTCAGATCTTCACTTTGCAAGGTAAATAAACTTACTCCCCCTACTTGACATTATGGACTATGGCGAACATGAAACTCTTGAGAGAGATTGTGCATGATTGACCATAGGACACGGGTATATATCCAACCTTTTGCGGAACATTATCATTACTTTCGATAAGCACTGAGAGAAACGATTTAACTGAAGTTACAAAACCATCGGTTCCCCGCTTACGTAGAGGGCTTAGCATTAGGAGGCAGAACCAAAAGTAGAGCATAGTTTATTCCTCTGAAGAATATATGCATATCTTCTCAAGCTGTACAGGCCAACATACTCCAAGTACCCGAGGATTGGATTGCATGGCCACCCTAAAATCAGTCATTGATGCAGAATAGCACTGACTGGAGTTTCGCACATCTTCGCCGTGCCATAAACCATTAATTCCATGTTGAAAGTTGCCTCTTGTCCCACTAAAATTATTATTCCCAGACCTTGACCTAGCTAGCTCCAGACATGGTTTTATCATCTTCTTTAGATATGCATCCAATGCATGATTTAGCAAATTAACATAATCAACTGACAAATCAAGACCCTCAGTTTCCAATTTACGCTCCAAACACTTCCTCAAAGACAGCATATCTGGTAGCATGGAACTGATTCGGCAACACTCATGTACTTCTGACTTGGCAAGATGTAAAATTGATGCATATCTATTAGGGAGAGCTCTACGGTTAAGGCCCCCCGAATTCAAGACAATACCTAAGGGAGCTCGGATAGGACTTCTACTTTGGATGCTTGGACTACCTCTCACCTGTTCTACCTCTTCTCCATCTTCCACAGATAAAACTTCCAACAAAGCTTTGCTACCAATAGATATCAACTCAGGTGCACTTTGTTGCTCTCTTGACCTTTGCACATCACAGGAATTAGTAAATTCCATTACGTTTCCAGAAGGCATCTTCCCATGAGGACCAAGAGGACTTGGGCGGTCATTAAGCCTGCGATCCCGGCTAGTAATAGACCTTCCTTTGCGAGGTGATACAGGCAAAATGTCACTGAACTGACCATTTGATGTTATAGTACTTCGAGAATTACCTGTAGTCGCATGCCTACTGGGTGGACCATGAGAGAAACAAGCATTGCTTAGTATTGAACGAATGAGCAAGTTATGCAGCCCGACATTTTCCTTCCCCATGATACTAAAGCAGAATCTGTCAAACTCCATCTTACTGAGTTTCAGATTCAGCAATCTTCTTAAGTTGAAGAAATACTTCTCAGCTTTCTGCCGCCCAAGTTTCTTGCTGATCTGCAATTTAAGGTCCAAAGTGTCCACTCGGGAGAACTGCCTCTGCGGAGGCATCAGAACCTCGAAATACTTTAACACAAAATCAGCTACGATCACTACCACCGAGTAAATAAATCTTAATGAGCATGAAGTAGCCTACCCTTCCAGGAAAGTTGGAGTAGATTTACCAGCTGGATAAATCCCCCTAAAAAAATTTGTGCAAAATCACTAGTTGGAGATAAGTGGCACAAAAACAGACAAAAACACAATCAACTCACCAAAAAAAATTATGCAACATCGCAAACCTTTCATAGCCTCGCTAATTAATCTTAAAAGAACATAAAAAAACAAACTTGGAAATCTCCACCATCAAATAAATAAGGTTTTAAGCCACAAAAAACAAAACCTACAAACCAAACAAGTAAAGCGATCAAACCTCCAAATTCCAGTAAAAAAACACCAACATTCGATCCAGTAAACACATCCCAGCCCCAGTTCAAACATGAAAAAGCTGAAAAATCCTCCTCCAATTAAGAATGCAGTTACCAAAAGATCAAAAAACAATCAAAACGAAAGGCCTCCCAAAATGAACTCGGATCCCAAAAGAAAACCCTCGCCCCAGTCACAAAAAGAAACAAATGAAGCGATCGAAGAACGCAATCATTGCTCGATCGATCAAAAAGAGTTCAGATAGAGAGACAGATTAGGGATTTCTACGTACGAGATCATTAAGGGGAGGAACAGAGAGTGTAGGACTTGGATTTTTCCTCCCTTTGAGCACTCGATCGCTGATACCGCATGGAAAGAATCTTCGAACGAAATTTCACCTTTCTCCACTGGCGAATACCTACTAGGGCTCGATTTGGAACCGGCGGGGCAACGAGCGACGAAACGTGGCGAGTCAAAGAAGTCAAAACGAATGTGCTACTGCGAAGGGCGGCTTGAGGGGATTGAGTCCGACCTCTAATTGGGTCGAGCGACGACTCGATGAGCTTTAAAAGGAATTTGAACTTGATGTTGGTATTTATTTGATGAGATGATATGAAAAATAAGACTCAATAATTTTAGTGCTAATTTGATCGTCTAATTAAGACTTAAGATACACAAGCCTTTGCCGGAGTAAGGTAAAGGGAAAGAGGTAATTTCGGTTTTGAAAAAAATACCAAAAGCACCTACATCGGTTATTATCTCTGGAGCAAATGACAAGGAGGCTTCTTCTTCAAGGAGCAGTTTCAGTGATTTATTGAAGAATGATAAGAGTATTCATCTAATAATTTCATCAAGATTGGATAATTCTAATGTGTGGATCAAAAAACCACACATTAAAATTAATTTAAATCAGATCCATGATGAGATTGAAAATGCTAATGTTGTTAAACTTGTGGAGAAAGATATTTCCAATATTCAAGTTTTGAGTAAATCGTTGGTGGTGAAAATTCTTGGAAAAAATTTACCTTTTTTACAATATGCTATTGAATTGAGGAAGCAATGGATGAAATATGAAGGGTTTCATATAACCTTGCTTGATTTTGATTGGCTACTTTGTTCCTTTCAAACTCATGAAGCCATGGAAGAAGTTCTTAATGGAGGTTCATGGTTTGTAGGAGGCTTCGTTGTTGGGTTAGATAAGTGGTCTCCTAACTTCTCTCCCAATTCCTTGGATGGAGTTTCTTCTCCGATATGGGTTCGTCTTCCTCACCTACCTCTTCATTGTTGGGATGAATCTAATATCACAAGGATTGTTTCTAAAATTGGGACTCCTCTATTGTTGGATGGTAACATGTTTAGATGGGGAAGAAGAGAATTTGCTAGAACATGCATTCTGGTGAATTTGAATTCCAAACTCCCTTCTGGTGTTTGGGTTGAAGGTTTGCATGGTAGATTTTTTCAAAAATTTGAATACGAAAATCTATCTTCAATTTGTTTTAAGTGTGGGAGAATAGGACATTTTGATACTGTTTGTCTTAATATTAAAGATGTTTCTTCAAGCTCAATCCATATTGATAATCCTTATGGACCTTGGATGCATGTAAAATTCAAAAAGAAAAATTATGTGAAAAAGCAATCCAAGTATTTTTCTGAAAAAGGAATTTCAAAACAATTGGTAGATCGGAAAGCTAATGCTCAAAGATTGGTGTCCGAGCCTTTGATAGGAGCAGAAAATGTTGATCCATTTATTGATCTTTTTAATGGCAACAATGTGGTGGCTGATCCATTAACCGATCATCTAAAAGATGCATATTTTGTAGATCAATTGGCAATTCAGATGGCCGATCCATTGAAGAATTCAAAATTTAATTGCCAAATTACAAAAAATGCTGAAATCAAGGAAAGAGATGAAGTTGTTAACAATAATTCAATTTTGATAACTGAGCCGGAAGCTAATCCCGTGGAACAACAAATAAAGGTTGGAATTTCGGAAGTTGAAATTTCAATTTTTGAAATCCCACATAATCTAGAGGCAGATAAGGGAGCTAAGACTTCGGTAACTAAGGTGTTACCTGAATAAATTGCTATACCGAAATCGGATGTTGGCGAGAATTCAAAAGTAGGCATGACTGAGTCAGAATTTCAAGAGGAGCAGATCTTGGTATTGACTCCAACAAAGACAACAAGGAATTTTGATATAGATGGTTTTAATAATGGAACTAAAGATGGTTTTTATGAAACCATTTCTCCTTCTTCAACAATCAGTTTAAAATTAAAAAAAAATTGTCTTATTGAAGAATAAAAAGAGTTCTATTAAGGAGCTTGGATCTTCCGGATCTAAACAAAAATTATGCAAGGAACTTCATGATCTAGGACCGATGAAGGAACAAACTAGGAGGATTACTACACTCAGAATGAAGAACTACTTGAAAGGTTCTTCCAAATCATCTCAGTAATATGCTAGCCGATTTTCTCATTGCAAACATCAAAATGGAAAGATACCTGAGGTTGGAGCATCTGAACAAAGAGATTTTCAAATCTCTAGCTTTGGACTACATAACAAAAAGTTGGAGTAGACATCTGAAATACCTATTCTTAGGTGTTTTACGATTGTCCTGGATTATTTGTGATTTCCTTTTGATTTTCTTTTATAGCTTTCTTTTTTTGACTTTTTTGTTTTTTAAATTTATTATATTTGCTTATGGGATCGATCGATACTAGGTCTTATTTTTTAATCAGATGGGAACTCTGGGATACTAACCAACCCTTGGGTTGTTTAAAACTTTGGTATCCCCTGCATCTCAACGGTTTCAAAATAGGAAACAGTGGGTTTCATTTCAAAATTAATAAATTTAATTTAAACAAAAATGCTATAAATAAGGATCCTTTTTCTCTTGAACAAGGATCTATTAGTTTATATTTCCTAGTTTGTATTAGGTCGTTTTTTATTTCATCTTAATGCAAATATTGCATTTCTGTAAAAAAAAAAAAAAAAAAAAAAAAAAAAAAAAAGACTTAAGATGGGACTAGGGGTGAAACCGAGTCAAGCCAACTCACGAGCCGGCTCAAACTCGTGAGTCGAGGTTATCGAGTGTTGAGCTTGAGCAGAATTTTGAGCTCATTGGATTGTCTAGCTAAAGGTCGATCCTCATGATGCTATGCTCAATTACTCGTCGGGCGACTAAGCGCGGAATTAAAATCGCAAAGCAGGCTCAAACTTAAAAGGCTGAAGTGGAAATGGGAATCGTGAGGGCAAGCTCAGACGCCGAAAGTGAAATCACAAAAGGCGGGGATAGGCCACGGACGTAAAATCATGGCTCGAATCGTAGAATCAAGGAGCTTTACGAGCTCGGGCTCGTCTTGTAAGCTCGACTCGAGTTTAAGCTCAAAAATTGCCTCCTGAATCGAGCTCGAGTTAAGACTGACTTGAGCTCTATTCGACTCTTTTGCACCCCTATTTGCGACAGCTTTTGGCCACGGCTAATTCATTGTTTTCAAGAAGTTTTTGTGCGAAAAAATTATTTTAGAAAATAATAAGAAAATTGTCACAAATAAAGTCTAAATAACTTGAATAAAAATAAACAAAATAAAAATTTATTAATTTTAATGCTTAAAGATGGAGTGTAGTACCCACAAAAGAAATAAAATTTTTAAGAGGTATAGTACAGTTGAAAGTTGAAATTATTCCCTTAACTTTAATTTTATATTATAAATGAATGCCTAACTCCATAATTAGAGGGAGGACAACTTAGACATTGTCTCTTAAGGTTTTGGTTGAACATGTTGAAGACCTACGGCACCAACATTTGACAATTGGGATCGTTCAAATGTGCTAAATGATATAGCTCGTAAAATTTACTATGAGTGTCAATTTATGACATGACCTAAAAATTTGACCCAAACTCTAGTAAAAAAAATACGGTTTCAGGTTCTAATTTCCAACCCATTTCAAAAATAAGTCATGTACGGCTCAACTAGTTAACCCGGAACTAGCCCGTGTCTTGCCTGTAGCCTCGCGTCACACGTCCCGGCCCGCCCTACACACCACATCGTGCTTGTTGTTGGCAATCTCTCATGTCGCATATGCACGCTACAGCACGTTGTGTTGGAAGCTAGCACCTCGCCCCACCCACTATCATTGCGTTCGCACCCGCATTCTGCCCGCTCGTATCGCGCTTGACACTCGTGATCACACCCGCCTTGCCGGGGTCAATATGTTAGGTCCGTGTCGACCCGAGTATTGGGTGAGTCAAGTTTACTTTCAAAAATTTGACTCATTTGTGTATTCAGATCGGGTTCGGATTGCATTAATTGAGGACGGGTCAATTTAGGATTGGACCAAACTTGACTCAAAAATTAATTTTAACACCCCCACAATTCACCAAAAAGTGAATTCTATTATTAATTTTGACTACTTAAAACTTGATTCATATACACTCAGAAATATCAATGATATTAGATTGCTCCAAAGAAGACAAACAAATGATTTCTAGCTTGTGCCCAATCATGACTTTTTTTATGAGGGTAAAAAATAGTCTTTATTTTAAGTATTTGTTGTAGCATAACAAGTTTGAGGCAGAAGTCTATTTTTTTATGACAGTAATTTGATTTATAAATATGATAATATTATTAGGCTTTGTACAAGTGGAGTCATTATTATATAAGTAGTAGACTACTAATGTGCAAACATAGGAAAATACAATGATAATACATGAAATGAATACAATTATTAATAATTTATAATAAAAAAATCATTTTTAAAAATTTTAATATTCTCGTCATCATCATTGAAGTAGTTGACTACCATCATGATTGTTACTTATGAATATAGAGTGAGTTTTACAAGCAATTTATGTTGGATTGAAATTATACAAAGCTTTTCTTTTATATAATGAAAGGTGAAGCTTGTTGGCTTTATTCTATTAAGATTATTTTGTAAGTTACTAAAGAATAGGGGTGTCAATTTCAGGTCACGGGTCGAATCTGAAATTGACCCGACACTATTTAGGTCAACCCGAACCCGACCCATTTTTGCAAACGGGTCGATTTTTCGAACCCAAACTAGACCCGTTTTGGGTTCGGGTCAACCCGACCCAACCTAATTGACCATGCCAACAAAAAATCACTAGTTTTTTGGTCCAAAAATGGGTCAATCTCGAGTTGTTGGGTCAAAAACGAGTTTTCGAGTCAAAACGGGTCAATTTTGGGTCAACTCGAACCCAAACTGATTTTTAAATTAGTCGAATTGTAGAACCCAAGCCTGACTCGTTTAAGGTTCAGGTCAACCCAAACCCAAAATTTTCGTGTTGGGTCCAATATTGACACCCATACTAAAAAATATTATTTGTATCTCATTTATGTTATTTTTCCTAGAAATAATATGATTGTATTTTTTATCTTGTAATATTTTCCATTGTTCATGTCATTGATAGGAAAAATTATTCTATGCAAATGCCGAACGTCGCTCGGATACCAACCAGAATACACAACGTCACTCTTATGCTCGGTAACGCAACTAGGTATTATTAGATACC